CTTTCCAGTTTTAACTTTGTGGCCTTTGCGGGAATATGACATTACCCATATTCTTGAGCCATGTTTGAAGTGTAACAGATATACTCAAATCATGTTTAGTTTGACTTAGACTGTCACTGTAACTTAACTGAAGCTTACAATTGCCAACATGTTTCCTCAGTGAAGTGCATACCAGGAGAGAGGTTTGATAACAACCTGTGAGTCTGTATCCTATAACATATCAGTTTATGACCTTCTCTGTCATGTCTCCCTCTATTAGATGGTCTGTCTGCCTTCCGTAGCTTCCTGCAGTCTGAGTTCAGTGATGAGAACATCGAGTTCTGGATGGCCTGTGAGGATTTCAAGAAGACCAAGAACCCAGCGAAGATGGCTGCCAAGGCAAAGAAGATCTACGAAGACTTCATCCAGTCTGAGGGACCCAGAGAGGTCAGGCACTCATGTCACTTCCCTAACCCTACTCTTTCATCAGCTCAGCCTCATTGAGATGATAGATAGTTAATCTTCAAATTAATCATACATTGCTTGTTTCACAAAGTGGAAACTGATGCTTGACCTCTTACTTTAACACTCTTCATACTCTAAGTATTTCATGTGTTCACAGTATGTTCCAGGTCAAACTGACCCAGGACAAGAATTTACAAATATTTGCAGCATTGGTACAACTGCATAACTTTTTTGCATATTTTAATCTTTGCGTGTTTTGGGCCACTTAAGGAAAAGTCATCAAACCAGGCTAAGAATGATTAAGTAACTTCTTAAAATAATAAAAGAAAAGTTAAAAAACAGAAAGCAGGAGAATGACAACCAAAACATATAGCACCTTAGATTAGCAATCACTCCACAGAAAGCTCTGAAATATGTAAAATTGGTTAGAGGCAGAATTCAAATTGCATTATTTAGAAACAAAAGCATAATATTCATCAGCCTTCTATAACCAAACTTTTTAAAACTGAAAATCAATCCAGTATTTGGAACTGTGGTAATTTTTCTCTTTTGCAACAAAGAAAATAAAAAGAATAATTTATCTGTTGCTTTTATCACCATTGGTACACTCCGTAACTAACATGGAGAAAACCATGACTGAGTCTTCCAAGTGAGTTTTGAGTGAACAAGTTTTAGGAGTATTTTTTTTTTTCATTTCATAAGATCTACCTTTTTGATCAGAATGATCTTATAAAATTAGAAATAACAAAGACTGTAGCCACTGTGACATCACATTTAAGTGTAAAATTTCAGGTTATTGCCGTTACCGTCTTGGCAAACATATTTGCATGAGAGGTTAGACTAGATAGAAACAAATACAGATGCCTGCCTGTTAGTGCTAACATATAAAAATATTACTCATATTTTCACCCGTATTTTATATCAACTTCTCTTATTTATCCGAGTTTTACTTGCTTCTGAGAGAATTTTGGTTTTTGCCTTATATCTCTCTAACAGGTCAATATTGACCACTTCACCAAGGATGTGACCCTGAGGAACTTGGTGGAGCTTTCCCCTTCAACCTTTGACCTGGCCCAGAAGAGGATCTATGCCCTCATGGAGAAAGACTCCTTTGGCCGTTTCCTCCGGTCTGAGCAGTACCAGGAGCTCCTGGTCAACTAAATTGAGGAGCTAGGGCAGGGGTGGGTAGGTGGGGAGATTTTAAACAGTAGCTAGATGGTTTGAAAAAAAGAAAACTAATGAAGAATTTCGATTAAATATTTATAATAAACTACAGTGTGTGTGTGTGCAAACTATAATCTGGAAGACTTTTGTTTTCCAAAATCCAAATTGTGAATGTCATAGATATTACATTTCAAAATTACATTTTGAATTCAGCTAAAGTGAAAAAAATGCCTTTTGAAATAGCCCCACCTTTCCACCCACCCACCCCCGCACACACACGCACGTTCCTAAATTTGGACTCTAAAACTTGATGGTTTCCTAGCATGACCTCAAATGTAAATCAAAATTTCCTTTGAAAAAAGTACAGGGATGCACCAACACACACCAATATACACACTAAATCTATATCAAAACATGTAAAAGTAATCTCTATGGAAACCAGACAAATCTTAACTAGGTCAGAAAGTTAGTTCTTCAGTTTGGGATTTGAAAATCATCCTTTTGAAAATATCCCTTATAACCATAACCTAACATATAGTTGCACTTACTGCTTGCATCACAGTGTTGGAACTTTGTCAGACAGATTTATCATTATGTGTAAGCTGGGCCCCATTGTTTACCATGCACCTTTGACACATGGTGGTAGCATGAAAAAGTAAAAGAGATGGAGGAAGAAGATGAGAAGTTTATTGTCTCTGACCTGCTCCATTTGGTCTGAAAAACTAAGGCATTCCAAATCTATAAAGCTGAGTCACTGGAGAAAAATGAGTATTCCCCTACTGTAGTTGTAGGAAGAAGTTGCTGGAGGTTGCTAACAGTCATTATTAAATC